GTTTTTTTTTTTTTTTTTTTTTTTTATAGCCACCCTTCAGCAAGAGGAGTAGCGAACACTGCCAGAATCTTTTTTTTGTTAAATAGATTTCAGATATATAGTGGTATTACTACTCAGAACAATGGAAGTGAGATGTGAAGAGAACCTGTCCTAAGCTTAATAACAGTCTATTGACAGATTTATCCTAGCACAGAGAGAATTAGAAATAATATTAATGGAAATAGCTTATTGCTGGGCATTCATTAATGCACCATAATTACAGAGCATTTAGTTAGTACCTATAATAACACACACTAACTTAATGCTCCGTAACCAGTGCTACTGCACAGTAGCACTGGCGCACACTTTTTTTTGGTGACAATAATGCACAGTCGACTTTCTGCTGTGCATTAGCATGGTTTTTGCCTGCTACACTAATGCTTAGTAGAATTAGTCTACTGTGCATTTAGCGTCTCATGTAGATGTGCCCACTGTGAAGTTAGACGATTATCCTCCATGTCACAGGGCGGGGCGCAGGAGTGGCTGTGATCTCCCCTGGCGCCCCTACCATGCCAAGTTGGGTCTCGAATGCACCCTCTTTCTAGCCCGCCACATCTTGGTGTTTATATACACATAGTTTTGCATGGGAGGCTGCCTTCTGTCCGCTTGGACATGGTGCTCTCGTACTGGCCCCTACTGTGTACAATGATCAGGTGCACCCTGCCTTATGGGCTACGTGTGTCTCCTACCTCCCCTGTAGCACGCCCCAAGCCTCGCAGTTGTACCGGACGTTCTTGTGCCTATATGCTCGCTCCTCCCTGGGCTTGCCTCAATATGCGCACCCCCTCTCTGGGGTCTCTCAGTATGCACGCCCAATACGTTCACCCCCCCTCTGGGGCCTTTCTGGAATACTTGCCCTTCCCAGGCTTCTATTCACCCCCTCGCCCTTCTCAACCGCACACTCGGTCCTTCTCCGGGCTTTTCACCACGCGCTCGGCCTTACTCTGGACTCTAATCGTGCGCCCATTGCCCTCTCTGGGCCTGTCCCGTGCCCAGGGCTCAGGTGGCCCGTAGCCATGCCTGGCCCCCTGACCCTTCTCAGGGTTCTATGCCCTAGTGGGCAAGTACTACCCTCACAGGCTGGGGCTTAATACCCCACATGCAGCGCCACACCAGCGCCAAACAGCTATGCCTCCCAGGCACTGCTTGCTGTGCCCGAACAGGGCACCCAGGAACCCCCAGACTCCTGGGGATCTCCCATGAGGCCTCCTCACACCCCTACAGCCTCACCCAGTCCTGTGGTATAACATAAACAAACACAACCAGGAGCCAGCTGGCTCCAACATAAACTAAGCCTCCTGGCTCTAACGTAACTCTAAGCCAACCCGACTGTAACCCCAAAATGAGCCTTGTGGCTACAACATACATCCACTGCCACCCTGACCCTCTTCCAATACCTCCCTGCCAGGGTTCTCTCTTCTCTACCCTACCCCACATCATCATCATCATCATCATCATCAGGCAGGCTGCTCTGCTCTGCTCTGCTCTGCTCTGCTCTGCTCTGCTACAGAGCTCCTGCACCTCAAGCTGCCAGAAGGGCACTGACCTTGGCCTCAGCCTTCTTTGTTTATAAAGGCCAGGCCCTGCCCCCTGGTGGTCAGCTGACCCAATCTGTTGCCTAAGCAACCTTCAGCTGTGCTGCCCTGCTGATTGGCAGCCAAGCCCTGTTACCAATGCTAGTAGCAGGCACCCTAGTGTCCTGCTACACTCCAAACTTCTGAAGCCTATGGGCCATGATCTCCACTCATTTTTTCTGATATAAACTTGGAGTAACTCCACTGGTTACAATAGTGTCCAGATTTAATGTCAGAACTGAGATTAGCATCTTTTGCCACCTACCTAGGTGGCTAAAAACATGCAGGCATTTCTAAGGCACATATGTGAGAGTTTGAACCCCTTAAAGAGAGATCTGCTGTGGCCAAAGATAATAGTCTAGTCTTTCATATGCAATAAATAGTATGTGGAACTTGCAGGTGTGAGCAGATGCAGTCTGGCAAAGCACTCTTTCTTAATGAGTTGCTCTGTTAATTGTCTGGTCAGTCACTTTTAATATATTCACTTAGCTGTTAGTATTCCTCATCTTTAAAGTATTTCTGGAAGTTTTTCTAAGGGCTTAATCCCCATCAACAAACAAGTCTTGCTTTGTTCCCAAATACTTCAGAGAAAGGCCAACCCTCTAAGGAGTAACAGCTGCAGCTCATTTACTTGGAAAAAAACAAATTCTTCCTCCCCACCCCCTTCCTTTCTCATACCTCTGTTCTTTATTCACAGAGAAGTGTTGCTGGACCACAGGTCTTTAACTAAGAAGTCCTGTTGCTGTTCCCCAGTGTGCCACTACTGTGCCAGTGTGCAGTCCCTAGCCCCTAAGCCTGAAGGTGCTCCATGTTTCATAAGCACGGTGTTATGACTGAGCCAGAAACAACCCGCAGGAGCTGCTGACACCCTATGGCCTCTCTAAAAAGGGAGAGAGATGTAGTATTTGTTTCCAAGATGAGTTTCTTAGGGTTTTTTTCCCTTCATCAGCTTCTCTTAATAACCCCATAAACAAAGTGGTGGCCTGAGCCTGCTGCTAAGTTTAACTCAGTACGCAATGTCTTAAGTGGCGTGTGTATGTTTTCATCAGTATGTTTTGCCAGCTAATTATTGATATGGTTTGAGATCAGATTTGCCTATCCCATACAGACGTATTTGCTCTCTCCAAGTTCAGCCCTACACACCTCTATGTGCACTTCTCCACCTGCGTTTGGTGCTGGGTTACTTCCTTTAATCATGCAGGCAGGTTCATGAAGCGGGGCCTGTCGATAGTTACATCCTCAAATTAACTAGTCTCTGTTTAATGCTTATAGCTGTCTTAGACCATCTCCTCGTAGGCAAGGAAAAGAGAGCACCATGGTATTGTTTGCAACTTTTGTTTAAAATGTTCATAATACTGTGAAAGGTTTTAGCACTGCTCCTTTGACTCATGCACTTTTATCTGGAAATGATGCTAGCTGCAGCATGCTGGAGATTAGCCCTTTTTAATGTAGTACAGTAAAGGACGCGTTATCTAGCACCTTACACGCCAGCATGATCTATTAACCGGCATGCCGGCTTGTAAGGTAAAAGCGAAACTGGAAGTGCCCACCGTGATACTTCCGGTTTCACCAAGCCCCCATGGCCCGAGGCAAAGCAGCCTGCGCTGCCGAGCCCCCACGATAACAGTTCTTTTTCCCCTTTCTCTTCTACCCCCCTCCCTGTCCCTTGCAGCAGGTGGGACGGTGGTGCACCGGATATGACAAGAGAGGCAGCAGCCCGAACAGGCAAAGATGCCTGTTCGGGCCTCTCAGGTAACCGACATATTTGATTATCCGGCACCCCCCATTCCCCATGGGTGCCAGATAACAAAGCTTTTGCTGTACAAGCTTTCTTACATAATTCAGGGTCATAAATCTGATTCTTCATTTAGCGTGAAAACCGTACTAGAAATCTGCTGGGAATAGCCATATTGAAACTCAGTTGGAACCGATACAGTTCTGCTGTCACTGTGGACAGGACCTTATGCCTTGTACTTGGACCTTGGCAGGCAGAGGAGTATATTGTACTGTTACTTTAATTTAATTCTTCTGCCATACGGCATAATACATGAAAAGATTGTGTATGGTTTGATCTAGTTGAGGGCTGCAATAAGACTTGCAGGCTGTCTGGATCACCCTTTCAGGAATACATTTTTCTCTCTTTGTATAATTTTCAGGAATTAAATTGTCCATGTATTGCACCCTGCAGAAATGTATTCAATCAGCTGCTACACAAAATGGTTACCTTTTAAAATAGAGTGGGGAAGAACTTTCTTGTTAAAATGAAGCACAATACTGTGTAATTAAGCAAGGGGTGAGAACTGAACTCCCTGAAACTCTATAACTGTTCTATTGATTTTTTTTTTTTGCCTTGGTTTTCAGCAGATGCCCTTGGCTGCTTTTCTTGCCTTCTGTGGAAATGAGGATTATACTTTTCTAGTTATTTTAGGCTCTGTTAATATTTGTTCAGTGAACTGAAAATAAAGACAGCTATACAAATGCTAAATATTTTATTATTTCACTTCAGGAATTGTCAAGCACAAGGAGAAAAGGTTTCCTGATGGAACATGCAGCCCCTTTCTCTGTTTTCCTGACTGACAGCTTTGGACGTCAGCACAACTACTTGCGGATCTCCCTGACTGAGAAATGCAACCTCAGATGTAAGTCTGCCCATCTTCCCTCTGCTTGTCTTGGTGAAGTTCATATACCCCATGGGATGTAGGAGTATGTGCTTATCAGCCAACACTTGCATTAGGTTGGCTACAGCTGACTCAGTTATCTGTTGTTGTGTATCTCATTTTGATGAAGTCACATACAGGGTCAGAAGAGATGTTAAGTGGTCTGAGCTGCTGAAGAGATGGAAGAACATGGGAGCTAATTCAAAGATCTGGCCAATGATGAACAAGAATGGTTTATTTTGAGTGAAAGGGCTTTATGCATGTGCCTGTTAGCACCAGCACACAAATTCATGCTAACTGTACATTCTTACACACAGGCAGAATCTGTATACCTATGAGAAACCAACTGTCTAAGTCTGCATGGATCTTTGGGACTGATCCTGCCCTTATCCATTGCAGGTCGGTCTTGTATTGAGACTAGGTTAGGTGGTGCTCTGGGGCAGCATCCTTCCAAAATGTAAAATGGTTAACATGATTTTGAAAACCTCAAGCGTGAGTGACAGTTGTCTAAAAAGTAAGCAAGCTGCCTTGTTTGTGGGTTTCTAGTTTGACTCTGGAAAGCAGAGCAGTTTTTAAGGACCACACATTATAGGCAGTTGCTGTGCAAACAGTTCCCAAGTGCACTATCACTTTCATGCTAAGGGTTGATCCAGCCCTTTACTGATGATTGTATTTGTCGTGTTTCTGGACTGGTTGCTGCAGGTCAGTACTGTATGCCAGAGGAGGGCGTTCATCTGACTCCCAAATCCGAGCTGCTTACTACCCACGAGATTATCACCCTTGCCAGACTCTTCGTAAAGGAAGGTGTGGACAAGATTCGACTAACTGGTGGAGAACCACTCATCCGACCTGATGTGGTTGATATTGTGGGTGAGTTCCTGGTCAGACTTATTCACCTTTTGTTCCGCTCATGATATATGGGGACTCTTAAAGGCAACTCCTCTCACTTAAATTGAGCAGGGTTTCTTAGGGTGATCTGACAGCTCAACTCTGTTAGTGTAGTCTGTTGTTCACAAATAGTAACCTTTTCGGACAATTCCATGCCCACCCCACATTCTTTGCAATGCAGGATTGCTCCATAAAGAAAACTAAGTGTTTGGGTTTGGTCTCTTTAAGGCTGCCAAATGATGGGGGCTCTACCATTTCTATGACTTTACTGGCCAGTGTCCTACTACTATACTAGCTATAGAGCCTCTGCACTGTGCCCATGTTCAGTGTCAGACAGAGTGAATTACATTGATTCAGCCTGGAGATGGTAAATGCATGCATCGCTCTGGTCGGGGTTGATAGGTGCCTCCTGAGTCTGGGGGGGGCACAATTTGTGGACGGGCCTGGGGGTGGCCAAAAGCCCCATATCCACCCCTATACTTCTGTGCCGCAGCTTAGTGCCCCATGCCACCTCCAACACACCGCCGGCCAGCGCAGCAAAAAAACTGCCCTGTTGAGTAGTGCCAGGGAATGGGGGCGCACATGCCCCTTCCGTATCCCCTGCCCCCCACCAGTCACCTGTGACACTGGTCAAGTTCCTGTCTTGGAGGAAGTGACAAAGATTCCTGGAAAGTAGAGGTGAACACAGGCATGTTTAGACACTGATGTTGTTTGGTCATTGAAGCTTAGTGAAGAATCACAAGGGACCCAGAGGCTCTCTGCCACTTTGTTGAGTGAGACCTGTGTTACCTCAGTTGTGAGAGGAGAAAATGTCTGAGTTATGTGCTTAAAATATTTCACCTTTCTGACCAGCAACATGTTGGGTTTGCCTGGGTTCAGCTTGAGTCAGCTGCTTTTTCATTTGCAAAATAATTTCTTGTAAGCCTCTGATACCTTACTAATGATAGTGGTTGTGTTATTAGCAAATAAAGAGATCCATAGTTGTGTGTAATTGGCAGCTGAACCCAGTGAGTGTGAAGGCCTCTTGCTGGACTTATGAAGGTGTCAAAGAAAGGGATTAGTATTGAATGTGAAGGGCCTTCAGAAAGAATCCATTATCCATTGCCACCCTGAGTTTTTCTAGAGAAGAATGATTGGAGCTGGTTTCTGTCTAGTCCTGTTATGTCATGTACAGTGACTAGCAATATATCATTATCCTCTCTGCCAAAGTCAACAAAAAGACCCAGCAGCATAAACATGGAGCTGAATGAATATGGGGGCATTTATGATATGCATCCTGTTGGATGGCTACCTCACTTGTTCTGTACTGCTGATACCTTACTTTGTTTTCTCTGCTGTAGTGGAATAATCCTATGAGAATTTCTTGTTTTGCTTTAAGAAAGATTCTTGATGAATTTAGGTATTCTTTGTGACACTGGCCTTTTAACTTTCTACATGTGTGCTTTGTCTGCCATGTAGGAAAGCTGGCAGACAAAGCAACTTGGAGATCATTGTGGTTGATGTCAGAAAAGTGGGTAACGTAGCCAAGGTGTCAGATGTAGTAGATACTGGGTCAGATGAGCTCACTGGTGTCATGGACTCTTTTGCATGTCCCCATGAAACCATGGAGTGTTGAGTCTGTATTAGAATCATGCATGTCTTTATTCTTATAGCTGTTGCATACCTTGTGATACATGTATCTGGGATATAAAATTAAAATCCCCAAATAAATATCTTACAATTTACAGTGAAGGGAACTCTCACTGAGCATGACAGTTCCATCAACATTTTCTCAAGACTTTAAGGAGAAGTGGCTGAGGCACCATTACAGCAGTGATTTCAGGACACGTTAGTTAAGATATTACTGTATTTACCTGAATCCAAGACGACTTCAAATTTTAAGATGACCCCCTTAATAATTAGAGTCTCTACATGGAAAATTATAACAAATTTATAATTTTTCATTAAGACAATCTAATTAGTAGGACGTTGCTTTAAATTGATTGCCCTCCCTGCCCACTGCTGTCATTGGGAAAGCATCAGTGAGGGGTCAGACCCCTGCCCCTTGTCCCTCCCATGTTAGTACCTGTGCCTGTCCCCCTGCAGCCTCCCCCTTTGTGCCTGTGCCTGCCTCCTGCTCTTGCCCCCCACCTATGCCTGCCTCCCCACTACTTGCTTCCTTCACCCCCTGCTCCTCCTTGCAGACTGCCCACCTGCAGCCTACCCCCAGCCTAGTGCAGCCCAGCCCAGACAGGGAGAAGTGGTGGCTGGAAGGAAACAGCTACAGCAGAAGGTTGAGCAGGAGGGGACAGCTGGAGGTAAGGGAGAAGGTTTCAGGTTTCCCTCCCTCCAACCCCACGGTCTGCCCCACACTTCCCCCAAATGCATTCCCTGTCCCCCAACAAATGAGCCATTCTGGCCCAGGGTATTCATAGAATGTAGGCTGGAAGGGACCTTGGAAGATGATCGGGTCCAGCCCCCCTGCACCAAGCAGGTAAGACAGGTGGGATCAACTGACCCCAGCAAGGTGACTGTGCAGTCTCCTCTTGAAGATTTCCAGGGTAGGTGATTGCAGCACCTCTGGAGGGAGCCTATTCCACAGTCTGGACACTGTAGCTGTGAAGTTTTTCCTAACATTGAGCCTGAAATGGTGTTCCAGCAGTTTGTGACCATTGCTCCTGGTTTTCCCCAACAGTGCCCTGGTGAACAGTTGAACAGTTGATGTATGCCCCTGATGTAGTGGTAAGCTGCTACCAAGTCCCCTCTCAGCCTTCTCTTCTTCAGGCTGAAGAGTCCCAGGTCCCTCAGGCTTACTTCATATGGCTTGCCTTGAAAGCCTCTGACCATGGGTGTTCCTTCTCTAGACTCTCGAGCTTTTCCATGTCCCTGTCGAAGTGTGGCTCCCAGAACTGGATGCAGTACTCCAGCTGCGGTCTCACCAATGCCTAGTAGAGTGGAAGAATCACTTCCTCGGTTTTGCTGGAGATGCATTGATTGATGCATGCCAGACTCTTATTTGCTCTGCTGGCTACAGCATCATACTGCTGGTTGAAGCCCATACTGTGATCAGTTATTACCCCCAGGACTCTTTCATTTGTAGTGCTGGTCAGATTGGCATTGCCAAGCCTGTAGGTATGCAGGGGATTGTTTGTCCCCAGGTGGAGCACATTACATTTCTCCATGTATATGGTGGCTCAGCTTCAGCTCCAAGCCTGAAGCCAGCGCTGAGCCCCTGCCTGCCCTGGGGGGCAGGTACTCAAATCCAGGACAAAGTTCTCTTTTCCCCATGGTGATTGGGGTGGGGGCATCATCTTGTATTTGAGTAAATATGGTAATTTTAGTGATGTGAATATCCCTGCAATGGAAGGGAGCAGGTTGGATGGATCAAAAAGCCTTTACAGATTTCAGTAGCTGTCTGTGACTTTGAAAACTTCAGTTCTGTGACAGCACATCTTGGGGGATGGATTCTGAGTAGAGTGAGAACACTGTGGGATGTGGGGTTTGGTTTTGGTTTTCTTTAAAGAGGCAAGCAGCTGCACCCTGGTTTTGTTCTGCAGTTGGTTAGAGGGGTGGGATAAACTTTCTTGTTAGAAAGTTTAGCTCTTCCCTTAAAAGAGCTAAAAGTTGAAAATTGCTTCTAAGTTGTTGAGTTGAAAGCAAGATTCAATGAAACAAAAATTTTAGTGGCAGGGCAGGGGAAGAAGATAGATGGAGTCTTTATCTTCTGACCAGTCAGCACAAAAATGTGGCTGAAGTGAAGAATGAGTTGGTCAGTTCAATAGTTCTGCCTTGATTTAACTCTTAATAAAATTCTTTGGGTACTAGAGAATTGCTGTATTCCATATTTCACTTGTCTTGAAATGATAGCTGCAGGTACTTTTGCTAAATAGATTGAACAGTCAGCTAGTTTTACTGTAGCTTAAAAAAAGTCACACTGGTATGTCCATAGTAGAGGGAAGTTATGGAACTAGGACTATAAAATCTTTACTGCCGTGGATCTCAGACTGTTTCAGTACTTGCAGTTCTGCAGATTTTCTAAAGCCAGTGAAATTAGCAAACCTGGCACTAAATGTTTTATCTTGTATTTTATAACTGCCTCTACACTTAGTCTGTAACTTCCTATTATGTTTGAATTTGTCCTTGATTTTTAATAGCCTGTTTGTGTTTTGAAGTACCTTGGTAATTAAAGAAATATAACCAGCCTGAGTAGGTCTTGGTGATTTCCACAAGGTTTTTAACACTAACATTTTGAATGCATTGGTGTGGCAAATATACATGTATGTCATTTTTCATGGTCATATTTGCATTCCAGACATGACTGAAGCAACAAGTTCATATCAAAGGCTGCAGGCACTTTACCCCAGTAATGCTTAATTGTGGGTACACACATTCATTCTGCTGTGTAGGTTCCTTAGGAAATATTCCTGTTAGCTGCTTACCCTACATAATGTACACTCTCGTACCAATCTGAATTTTCTCTTAGGGACTGTAGTCAGAGGTAGCACTGTTCGGAAGCAGTTTAAATAATGCAAGAAAATAACTTTGCTTTTAAGCCTTTAGACATCACAGGAGTAGGTTAGACAAACATTTATTCTAGGATAGTTTAGAAGGGGTTGATCCTGCCTTAAAGTGGGGGTTGTATTACCTCTCCGGAGGTCCCTTCTAGCCCTATCTTTCTATGATTCTAAGTCTTATATACAGCAAGCAAATTGCTTCCTATTCCCCAGTCTTTATATTATATATTCATAGATGTTAGGGGCTGGAAGGGACCTTACAAGATCATTGGGTCCAGCCCCCCTGCACTTGAGCAGGAAAGACTGCTAGAATCAGATGACGCCAGCAAGATGGGCATCAAGACACTTTTTTAAGGTCGCCAGGGTGGGTGACTGTACCACTTCTGGGGGGAGCCTGTTCCAAAGCCTTGGCACTCAGCTGTTAGGGTTGGTATTTAATTATGTTGAACATGCAACTGTTTCACCAGTTAGAGAAACACTAGTCACATA